TTAATTGGTGGTAACCTAGTGTCTTGTGTCCCGATATGTTCAGATTGTGTCTAGAACCATTTACAGTTGAGCATCTGTGCAGCCAAGGTTTTGTCTTCGGTGCAAGACTATAAACTTGAGTGTGGTAAAATAATTTGTATGTATATATTATGTGTATGGGTAGACTTTTTGGCTCTTTACGTATTTATCCAGACAGGTAAGCTTCATTCAACATTCAAGTGTTTTCCAGCATCATTCAGTAAATGATAGTGATATAAAATGAATGAGTATTTGTTATCCACTGGAGTTAAGTCTGACATAAAAGCAAAAAGTTGGAAAATTTCCAAGGGAAATCAAGCTCGGGAATTTTGTAATATTGCACAATGTCAGTGTAAAAGCATACTGTGTTAATGAACTTATTTGGGGGGATAAAAATAAATCTCCCTCCAGTTAGACGCCAACTTATTTAGGTTTCTGAAGTAAAGTAAGGAGGTATCCTGTACGTAATTCCTCATTTTAACGTCATAAATCAGCCGTTCCTTGTCCATTGCGACACTTCCAGTGCAAGTGACAGAATACAAATAGAAACAGGGCGTCTGACAATACCGTCACATTGTGCTGCGCTGTGTCACGTTGCTCACAGGCAGTTAGGACAGTCCAATAGAAAACAATGCAATCGTTCTGATTTAGTTGCTGATACTTGGTTGTGTCGCATCCAGTTAGAACACGGTGTGAGCCAAAGGACTACATGTTTTCAGGAGAGCCTTGTTTATATTACTGAGGACTGAATATATTTGGTGTTTTTTTTTTTTCTCGATATTTCAGTATACCAGCAGAAAGTTGTATGCAGTTTATAACTTGTTAACACCTTCTGCTAGATTTATCTTGCTAGCTGTTACCATGTGGGATGTAGCTTGAATTAGTCTGCTAATCAATGACTTTTAATTAATCTATATCTGTTCATTCTTTATACAGCCTGAAAGCATAACCCTTATAATTCCATGTTATTCCTGCAGTTTCTTGTTAATTCCCAGTGAAAGTTTCCACCTTAAATATACCCAGAATTTTTACACCCTAGTCTGACAAAATTATGTTACTTAAAAAAAAAGGCACATTAACTGTGAAACTGCAACACAGCCATTGAACCAATAAGCATACAAGTAGCAAACTTGTGCTGTGACACTTATTGCCTCTAGGTGTCATACATTTTTCAAAATGTACAGTTTTAGTAGCTCCTGTTGTCCTTACTTGTAGATGACATTACAGACATGTCTAAGTCTGCAGCACTATACTGTTGCAGCTGTTACTTTCCTCTCCTGGAGGTGGCGCAGTGTGGCATGTGTAGGAGTGGTCTGACAATAAGCGAATATTTATAGAACACACTTGAAGAATACAAATCAACAGCAATATTTTTTCTTTGTCAAAGTTGTGATGTTATAAGTTCTTTGTCAGCCACAAGAGGCCTGCACTTGAAAGTGATGCCCATTCATTAAACTAAGGAATATTATCGTACACTTCTTTTTTTTTTATCAAGGCAGGATATAAATATTATTTGAGCTTCTTCTTTGAGCCTTGCTGCCTGTAATGTGCTGGATATTAATTTGGGAAGCCTTTGTGCTTATATGCACGTCTCTCTGTCTGCATTTATCTTACTCTATTCTCTATGTCAGTTAGGAGACCATTATAGCCGTATCAGGTGAGAGAGTCAGGGAGAGGGAAAGGCGGCCCGTCATCCATGTGGCAGTGTAAAAGTACCACGTTAGCCCTGATCCAGGAGGCCAGTCTGTCTAACCCACGGCCCCAACTTCAGAGACATAGAGAGGGGCCCTATGAATACTGCATGATGGAGCTTTTATTACAGAGCGAGCTGGAGTGTAAATAAGATCCAGGCAATGGGGCACGTTTACTGGGGTCAGATCAGGGGAAGTGGCGGGGGGTGGCTATGTAACCTTGTCCCCATGTCTCCCGCTGTCACAAGCCTGTCACTGTAACTCATACAGTGATGCTCAGCCCTGAGGTGGTCAAGGACAGTCTGAGAATAAAGCTTTAACCAAGCAGTAGTCACACCATGTCTCCAGCCCTAAAACATGCCCTTAAAGGAATATTTCACTCCTTGAAAGACCATGGGTATATCAAGTACTCACCCTGTGTTACGTTGAATTTGTAAAGAGAACTTTGCTTGTCTTGCAGGCCACTGAATTACAAAAACTGACAAAATTCTTGACGAATTGAATCATAGGCAACCGTGCTTAACTATAGCAAAACCATATCAAAACATCAATTGTCAAACTCTTACGCAACTCCTGCTGTATAATCCAAGACTTATCTATGGAGTAGTATGTGTGGTACTTCCCAAACAGACGGCCCTTTCTGATAGGGAACTGAACAGAAAGTGAAACTTACCTATGGTCTCCTCAAAGCCAGACTCCATTGACTTAAAATTGCTGTTCTCGTCAATGTAATTGGCATTAAAGAGAGCAGAGTTTTACTTTTCATTTTCATTTAAGTACTGAGCATATGACTGCATAAATATGACTTGGATTATACTGCAGTAGTTATGTGAGTTTGTTAACAGATGTTTTGATATAGTTGTGCTGTTGTTAAATGCGACCCCCATGACTTCAGTCGATCAAGAATTTCCTCTGTTTTTGGATTCGTTATTCACCTTGGATGCATGTGAGATAAACAAGGTTTTCTTCATGATTTCAGTGTAACACAGGGTCAGTAATTGAAATACAAATGGTCATTTGGGGGTGAAGTTTTCCTTTAAAACACATTTGTTAAAACTTAATTTCTCAACCCTTCTATTTTTGACTTAGACATGCATTTGATTATTAACGTATGAAAATAAACTGCTGCTTTGTGAACATGCACTAATATTAGGCCTGTTGTTCACTCCCTTCCTGTCCCTTCACTGAGTGAAAAAGTCCTGCATGTGGATGTCTTTGATATCTGTTTCTCTTGATCTTACTCTGGCCAAAATGAATCGCAGACATCAGAAAAACAACCTTAGCCCTAACAAACAGATGTGATACTTTCCATGACGGTACAAACACACAAAGATTGATCGCGCACAAACTCTCAGATGAAACTGCATGATATTCCATCATATCTTAAACAGGCTGGATATGTCTTTTATCATGTCTAGACCGCTCATTGAGAACTACAAGTTGTTTAGCCTGGCAAAGACTTGGTTTAATCTCTTTTCAGGCTGCCTTACACACACACAACCTGCCCAGCCAGTATTTAACATGTCTACCCCTGCGATCTTGCCTCAATTAACATCTTCATCTTAATTAAGAGGCAGCACTCATGCTTAACTGATATTGATTGTAGCTTAAAGGAAGACCGAGACATCAAAATGGAAACAAGGCCGTCAGCCTTATGTGCAAAGAGCTCTTTTCTAACAAAGATGACACTTATGATCAAAAACACTCACTTACACTCTTGGGGCAAAAAGAAATAACTGTTCTCTTAAGTCAGAAGGAGGCTTATGGTTTGTGCTAATAACTACAGACTTAATTTGTATCCCATGTGTTATCTTATGTGTAAACTTTTTGTTACCTTTTTCTTTTCACAATATCCGAAAAGTCTATAGTTTGTTTTTTGAATTTATCAGCAATGAGACTGTTAAAAAAGATGTGTAGACTACAGCTCGTATACAGCATGGCAAAGCTGCAGCCAGCGACCAGTGTTTGTTCTAACCGTGGGTAAATACCTGACATGGCACTAATGGGTGGCATTAATTAAAGGCCTGGGCCAGTTTTGAGGTGTCTGGCCGAAGAGCAATGCGATACTCCAATCTAAGACACATTAATCACACCTTGCACCATACACATTCTCCCTGGGAGACCCACTGACAGGTGAGTAGCCAGGTATCACATTCACTAAGCCTGCTTGCAAGCTAACACGCCTGTGTGACGTACACGGCCCCCACCTCATCCTCATCACCTGACAGCTGTTGGACAGTATTTGTCCTTGAGGATTGTATGTTGAGAGGTCCTGTGGTGTTGTCAGTGGTGCCGTAAACTAACCTTCAAGGGCTGTAACTAAAGCCGATGTTTGGCATTAAGGAGTTTGATAATTAAATCATTACGGGGCCGGTCTGTGGCCGCTGCTTTACTTGCAACTCAAAACTCTGTCTGGAACAACGAGTCCTAGGGCTGACTGGATCTGGTTTTGGGTGGTGACCTCTGACCTTTAGGAGAAATAACAGAGGCAGTTTGTCATGCTAATTGAGGCTGTATTAATATTACTCAGAAACTAGGGGACCTATGGAGTTCATATTGTATTGTTATTTAGTACATTATCAGCACATTAGTCATTTGTGATTACTTTGATCAATATTAATTTATCAGCCAAATTAGGACAGTGACATTACATCTTTATTTGGAGCAGAGTGCGGGAGATTTTTATCGAACGGACGTGTACTCAGAAGAAAAAAAAACTTGACTAAAAGAAAAACAGCAACTCAAATGGGCAAATACATGAAATGATTGTGAGGCTTTTGTGGACACTAAACCTGCACAAGTAAGACAAAAACAAACCATGTAATAAGCTTCGATGGCACCAGTGTGTTACGGTATACAGTACCAGGGTGTTTAGAAAGTATGATTTTCAATACCACCAAAAATCCAGATGCTCATCTTTCTATTAAACTGATACAGAGATACTGTGGGGCGTCGGTGGCTTAGTGGTAGAGCAGGCGCCCCATGTACAAGGCTGTTGCCGCAGCGGCCCGGGTTCGACTCCAGCCTGTGGCCCTTTGCTGCATGTCACTCCCTCTCTCTCTCCCCCTTCCACGCATGTCTGTCCTGTCTATTAAAGGCCAAAATGCCCCAAAAAAATATTTTTACAAAAAAAAAAAAAAAAAGAGATGCTGTGTTAGGATTCTGTTCTTTTTGAATTTGCCCTGAAGTTTAAAAATGAAAACACAATATCTCAGGTTACCATTAAAATAAATTTAAGCAACTGCTTTCAGCAGTTTTGTTTCATACTATCTTGTTTTTGTATCTCCTCAGAGCGTACCATCTTCCTAGCAAGCGGGTATTAGCTGTCAAGGTGAGAACTCCTTCCATGCCGATGCTCTTTATTAAGTGACCCTCAATCCAGTTCATCCCATCAGAACATCAACAGAACTTGTAAGTGTTGTGTTTATTGTTTGATTACAGGTCATTCCCTTGGATATCACGGTGGAACTACAGAAGCAGATCATGTCAGAATTAGAAATACTCTACAAGGTTAGTTTTGACTTGTTACTCTTTACAAAAACAGCTTCTCTTTTCACTAAATGTTGCTGTTCGAGTCTAACTAGTGAGGCGCCAGTTATCACCTCTGGCCTTACAATCTAAGCCAGGGATCAGCGATACCTGGAAACACATGCAACATACACGTGGAGTAGGCATGTAAGTTTACTGACGACAGTCTGTTAATTTCTTTACATGCATAAGGGAAGTATTCTTTCATTGTCTTATAATGTACAGGCCCAAACACAGTGAGCTTTGGAAACTCACTTCAACTGAGTGCAAATGCATTGTCTGTTATTTACGCTGAACATGGAAAAAGAAATTGTGGTTACCCCAGAACAGAGGGAACATCAGCTGACCTGAGCTCAGTGTATTGATTTGTTTCTCCATGGCCCCACTTTAGTCTTCTAGCCCTCCTCCTATGCAGTGTGTGGAAGTAAATCATAAAGAAAATATTTAATTTCCAAACAAAAAAAGGTTGATAGACTTCAATGAAATGCTGCTGAGCACTGACTACAAACTTAAGAATGCTTGATTGTGAGACACTTTTAATTTCGTAGATTTCATGCCACTGTTTCATTCAAATTCCTAATCACTTTTTGCTCAAATTCATAATGAGGATAATGTATAAAAAATTATTTTGTATCTCAGATAATTTTTTGGCATGCTCTTTAATGATCATATTGTCTCTTGATTGCAGTGTGATTCGCCCTACATCATCACTTTCTTCAGTGCCTTTTTTATCGAGAACAGGATATCCATATGCACAGAATTTATGGACGGTGAGTTTCTCTGCAGTTGAAGCCAGCAGATCATGTTTTATCTTCACCAGCCACAGCTGCGTAGAGGAGACTTTGGAGAACTGTCGTCTGTCTCTCTGCTGGCTGTGTTTCCATTTACACTTCTGCAGATCAAGAGGACGTCTTATCGCTGTGCGCTGCTTAGCATGTCTGTGTGCTAAAAGCTACAAGGGCGTGATAAATCTTGACTTAAGTGCATTTGTAGATGCATTTGTACATGTGTGTCTAGATTGGTGTGAGATGGGGGACTGTTTATGTTTTTAGGTGTGTTCGTGTGTGTGTGTGTGTGTGTGTGTGTTTGTCCAAGTGTGTGTTAATGCAGCGATTCCCCTGTTTCACACATTTGCCAGCTTGTTGGCAAAGTCTGTTTAACCTCTCAGCACTCTTTACTTGGTGAAACTTTTCTTTGATCAGTTATTTCCAGTTGGTCTTGATTGTTGCAAACAAGAATTAATGGCGTTGTGAAAATTTGACCACACAGGGAAGCATCAATGGATTTGTATATTGTTTTATTGTTAAGTGGAATTTTATCAAACAGAGAATATATTGATTATAACTGTGTAGTCCATAGAAATAGAATAAATAGATAGACATGTATGTATGTAGTTTTTTGTCAAGTCGCAAGCGTCCTGTTGGTTTACATTACCAAAGGTTTATCACAAAATCACTTGACAACACCTACCTCCGTGTTTGCATATGGTGAGAGAGGAGAGGAAAAGACGCTGTGCTCCTGCCAGAGGAGCCGCTGAATGAGTTACCCGAGCGGTAACTTGCTAAAAGAGTCTGAGAAGTCCGGGGCTGTTCATAAAACTTTCAGGACGCCACAGTTTATTCCACACTACTGAAGCTGACCCTAACCACCGCAGAGTCTGTAATAATTTCACTTTCAGCCAGGTTAGTTGTGTCCGTGGGTAACAGTATGACATCAATATGAGGATCAACAGTTCTTTCTTGGCAAGGGTGCCAGTTTTGGCGATAAAGCATTGTGGGAAATGTTGGTTGGCCTAATGTAGATGTGGATCCAGATGACATTGCAAGCAACAATTTTTGTCAGTTGTTTTGGTAGGTGTTGAATGATTTTGGCTTTGTGATATGCCAATGTGCCAAAAAGGCCATGAGATTATTAGTTAAGAAATTGTGCAAAATGTGTTTTACTAAATACATCTCTGCCTCAATAAATAATTTGTCTTTCACAGGTGGGTCTCTGGACGTGTACAAAAGAATTCCAGAGCACGTCCTGGGGAGGATCGCAGTCGCAGTGAGTTTACATGAAATACTCAAAAGCTCCTAGTTTGTTGTTTGATTACTGAGTGCAAAGCATTTGAATCAAGAGGTGTGTTATTGAGTTTTAAGAAACATTTATTTAAGGTGTATTAGCGTGTGATTGTCCCGTGTGTGCCCGGCAGTCACAGTTTTAAATGCGACCTGTTATTCGTTTGTCAGATACAGAACAGGTCTGGGGGAAAAAACTCACTCATTTTGTAAATGAAATAAAACAAAAGAGAAGCACAGGTGTGAATTTTTCAATTGGCTTCTATTTGGTGAAGTGATGGAAAAAAGTCCGTGTTGTTTTCCCCTTAACCTCCCTTCTCTGCCTTTCTCCCTCCCTTTCTAGTCTCAGTTAAAACTAGATTTTTGACAGAAATGGCCTTGGTGTTGATAAATGCATGTCTCTTTTCCACACTCATTACCCTTCTCCTGTCTCCACCTCCTCTTCTCTGTCTCCCCCCCTTTAACTTTGTCCGTAATCAAACAATGACAGCTATTTAGTCAGTGTTAATTCTAATTCACAGCTTTCCCTCCTTTCCACTGTCACAGTTGTTAATTATCACAGAAGGAAAAGCACCCAAGAGGGTGTGAGTGAAGCTGCACACTGCAGTCGCTGCACTCACACCACCACCTTTTGAGGCAGCAGGACTTCAGAGAGCTTTTGTGCTTTCTTAATTTATCTCAGAGGTTGTCGTGCATCAGAGATGGATGACAGGAGCCTAGAGGCTTGAATCAGCTCTCACATCCCATAATGAAAAAGTAGCATTACTCACTGGGAAATGAGAAATACTTATTTACTTACTTACTTAAACACAATGATTATATGGCTGAATCTCGCAAGAAGGGCAGAGTCACATGAATACAACCGAAGATGAACTTGCAAGGGCTGCACAAAAACATTTCAAATGTCTCTCCTTTCCTACTCACCTAACAAAAATACTTTGCTCTTTCCGGTGGTTCTTTAACTCTGGTGCCTACAAAAGACCTCTAAGGTAGGAGAGCAAGAAGGCATCCTTACTAAGTACTCTCACAAACTTTCACTTTCCCACCGATGCCCACCTGTTTTGCTCCAAGGAAACAAATCACCCTGTGAGGATACATTTTCTTGGTTGCTTTTATCTGCAGTCTTATTATTTCAGTGACTTCCCAAAGCTTGTGACCTCACCTGTGGACTGGAGCAAAGATTGATCGGCAAGAAGAGAGCTTTAACGTGTAACTCAGCTCTTACTTTGCAACCACAGTCTGATACAAAATCTGCAGTAGTGCAGCTGACGCACCTAAACTGTAGTCAATTTCAAAATCATTTTCCATGTTATTAAGACTGAAAGAGCTGAATTGCTCTACTTGGGGCAATTTCTCCCCCTCACCTGGGTTTGAGTGCGTAGGAGCAATAGGTGGAGGAATTCTTGAATCATTATGTCAAAAATGGAGGACATCACAGTCAGGTAGAAACCATGGTCACAGTCAAAGGAAGCCAAAAGGACAATAGCATAAATGGCAACAGTGTTACCCTAAGGTCACCAAAATGGACCACTTCTAATGGGGGTGACCCTGAGTAGTAGACTATTTCATGATTTGATCTAAGAAGCCTGATTGAGCTGCCAATCAGTCTGTTCGGCTATATGAGGGGGCTGAATGTCTGATTTTACACAGAATTACTCAGTTTCTGCCAGTAAATTATGATATATAATCTGTCTTGGTTTAAATGTATTAATCAGACTGCTGGGATAAGAACGTGGTGCACTTAGAACTTTTTTTTAACTCATTAATGATTCTCTGTCAAAATCATTGGGGGTGGCACATTGAAACAGCTGTTTGTATCGCTCTTTCCCTGCCTCTTAGCAAGAGAAAGTTGACAGGTCTGTTTACAACCACTGAAGGCTAACAGGAAACAAAAGAAGTGATGTGTCTGTGCCTGTCTGTCTGTCAGTCTTTTCTGCTCCCTTTCAATGCTGTGGACAGCATTGCTGCCACCCCTACACACACACACACATACACACACACACCCGGCACACAACAAACAGCACTGGATGGAACATGTACTAGTTATTATGCCAAGTCAAGAAATTAAATTTTTTTTTGGGTGTTTTTTTTTTTTTGTCTGGTATGGAAAAAACAGAACTAATGTTACTGATGAGAATATGGATCAATCAGCAAAAAAAATCCCCCTTAAAAACATGATTTCATTATCAGTCAACGAGGCATGACTTGATGAATCAGATTCGACTATGTAAACTCTTTGTCGGGAACACCCCTACTCTTAAGACCTTGGCTGCTCCTGAATGTCCTGTCCACTCTTAGGGCAACATCAATACAACATTAGAGATCTGTGTGAACCATGACAGCGCAGCAGTATCCAAACCTTTCAGTATTTCAGGGTGAATCTTGGCCAACCCCTTTACCTCTTGAGTGACAAATGCCATGACAGCTGAGTTGTGAGGTGTAAACAGGGTCAGAGACATTTTTCCCCAACCTGTAAGTTCAGTTTGTGTACTTCAGCAGGAGATAACCACTTTACATGAACCAAGACAATTAATTATTCAGCCACATGTGCTGGTTAAATATTAACCAACATTGATGTCAATCTATTTTTTCTTTGGTCTGTGTCTCTAGGTAGTCAAAGGCCTGACGTATCTGTGGAGCCTGAAGATACTTCACAGAGGTGAGTAAGGCAGCGCGCGGGCTCTGTGTTATTAAAAAAAGAACAGAGTTGATAAAGACAAGCTGTAGAGTGCTGATGTTGCAGTTCTATCAAGCAGTTTGTCTCCGCAGATGTCAAGCCTTCCAATATGCTGGTGAACACCCGAGGACAAGTCAAGCTCTGTGACTTTGGTGTCAGCACACAGGTACACTGATTTGTTTGTGTGAGCACGCAAGAGAGAGGGAGAGAGAAAGAGAAAGGATGGAGGAGGAGAAACAATTGTCTGTCGCTGCATTACCCGTCCTGTGCGCAGATCTGTGTGCATATGGTCAACGTTTCAATCACTGCATTCATTTTCAACTCAAAACATCAGCGCTATCCCAAGGGTCTTCCTCTCACATTAACTTTCCCCCCCACCTTCATTGTTCTGCAGCCTCCAAAAAATCACTTGTTATAATTATGACCCGCACACACAACAGCAAAGCCTCATTGATATGTATTCAATAGATGTGGGGAGAGCGTGGGTGGCAGACAATAGCCTCGTCATTGTGTGTATGTGTGTGTGGCAGTGTGTGTTTGCAATGTAATCATCGGGGACAGACCTTCAGCGTTCCCCAAAACATCAACCCTGAGGACTCTGTCTCCCTTTTTAACAAATACACACACACCCTCCCTTTTCTGTGACAAATTGTTATTCATTTTTAACCTCCACTTCCTTGGAAGCTCCAAGGTGAATTTTACACACTGCATGTATAACACTAGCAGCACTGACTTGTCCTCTGTCTTTTCTAACTCTGTTTTTCTGTTTATCTCTCTTTCACACATACATATTCTCCCTCCCCCTCTCACAGCGTAGGGCATTCTCAAAAAAAAAAAAAAACAGCCATGAGGGAACAGACACTCATTATCACAGCCCTGTCATTGATGGCATGTGCTATTGTATCCACACACACACACACACACACACACACACACACACGCTCACACGCACGCACACACACAGACTCACTAATGTCTCCTTGTCTTACTCCTGTTCCCTTGGGTGAGGGTGGAGAGCAGCCCAAAATATCAACCTGACATGTCAATAGATTTAGATAATGTTAGCGAGGTCCAGCTCCCTTTTTATTCCCTAATATAGAACAATAAAGTAATGGCTCTTAAAAGTTATTTATTACGGTCAAGGCTTATTAAGGTCAGGTAAATAATTCATGTTTATATACAGTGTCATTATTTGCATGTCCACTGTTAATTATATTTCATTTGCAGTTGGTGAACTCTATTGCCAAAACGTACGTGGGAACAAACGCATACATGGCGGTGAGTGACCCCTTAACCTCACTTTCATGTCAAATAATAGTTAAGTTTTACTCTACTTTTGTCCTTACAGTTGTTGATATTTGCTTTTGCTCCACAGCCGGAGAGGATATCAGGAGAACAGTATGGGATCCACGCAGATGTCTGGAGTGTGGGAATCTCTTTCATGGAGGTACGACATTCTGTAACTGGCTTCACGCTATAACTGGGCTTTGTACACCAAAAGAAGTGTGGGAAATATATGGAGGGGACACTCTTCATTTAATATTTTGTAACTACACAGTAAGGCCCCGGTCAGACAGGCCATGTTTTAGTAGTCTGAGGAGGCTTTTTGTAATTGTTTTGAAAGAGAGTGAAACGTTTTGCTTGCTGCTTTTGCATTGCTCAGTGCTGCATGTTTTTCCGCTCTGTGCACCTTATGTTTTTGCTAGGGATGCACCGAAATGAAAATTTGTGGCCGAACCCGAATAATATTAAATGCTTGGTCGAATACCGAGTACCGAATACCGAATGCCGTTTTTTAGTTTTTCATTCGTTTGCAGATGAACCCCCTCCAGATTAGTGTTGTCACGGTACCAAAATTGGGACCCACGGTACGATACCAGTGAAATTATCATGGTTCTGAGTAGTATCAGGATACCACAGCGAAAATGAGGCAGATGTGCCTTTTGTCAATTATGAAAAGATAAATCACTTTTCTATAATACATCAATGATATTTCAATGGAATAAATTACTTATTGACTTATTCATACTTCAAAAACAGCATCAATGAGTGATTAACATAGGGGGGATCAAAATACAAAATAAATAAATGAAATAAGAATCAACCAGCCACCCTCCTCCCCTGACAAGTCCCTTCATAAGTAAAGAACAGTCCCTAAAGTGCGGTGAGGTTTGTGGGCCGTTACCTGCCACTGAAAGACTAAAAGAGAGAAATGTGAACGGCTCGTTTCTCCTCTGATACGCCACATACTGTGTGCCGCCATGGCTCGGCTGTTCAGGTACTTTTGGGCAGTCATGACAACAAGTTATTTACCTGGAGCCGGACTTCTCCGTTGCCGGTAAGCCGTTATCATGCGCCGCCGTATTTGACAGGAATACGTATTCCTGTCCGTGTCTGTGACCCCCGTTCAACCCACAACCGGCGGGATTCGCTGTTTCGTTTCTGCTGCTGGTTGAAATCTGTACTCACACAGCGTGCTGAATGATTTATTTTGCCCGCACAAAACTATTTTTAGTCGCAAATGTGAGTGCGGTGACGGACGGAGTAAAATATCGCCACACTGCCAACATTTTACTCCGTCCGTCACCGCACGCTGTTTGATTGCGTTATCAAAACACCTATTATTCGGCCTTGCTTTTCACTTATTTTCACCGAATACCGAATGTGTGTTTTTTTGCAATATTCGTCCGAATATATTCGGTTACCGAATATTCAGTGCATCCCTAGTTTTTGCAGCAGAGCCCTGAACGCCTTGAGTTGAAAAACTTTAACTCAGAGTTGAAAAGCACCTGAAGTCAGAGGTGGGACTTGTGTGATGGTGATGACAACAAGTAGTAGCGTACAGTGTTAAGCTAATGTTAGCTTATTGTCATCATTGTCCTACTAAAATCAAATCAAGTTTATTTCTGTAGGGCGTCAGTGGTGTAGTGGATAGAGCAGGCGCCCCATGTACAAGGCTGTTACCACAGCGGCCTGGGTTCGACTCCAGCCTGTGGCCCTTTGCTGCATGTCTCTCCCTCTCTCTCTCTCCCCCTTTCACACTTCACTATCCTATCGATTAAAGGCAAAAATGCCCTAAAAAAAAAATCTTTAAAAAAAAAAAAGTTTATTTCTGTAGCACATTTAAAAACAACCACAGTTGACCAAAGTGCTATGCAAAATAAAAGAATGACACACAAATACATAGCAATGTAAAATGTATAGTATAAAACAGAATAAAACCAGTAAGAAAAATTCTATACGTAAAAACAATTATGAAATACTGCAATATTAAAACCACTACAAACAACCAAAGGCCAATGAAAACATGTACGTTTTAAGAGTTGTCTTCAAAGTGTCAGTAGAGGGGGAGCGTTTGAAGTAGTGGAAGGCTATTCGAAAGGTTTGGAGCAGCTACCGCAAAGGCACGATCTCCCTTACCCACCAGCCTCGATCGTGGGACAGTTAAAAGTAAGTGTTTGGAGGCAATATACAACACAATATACAATATTCAATATACTTGGCAAATTGTAGCCACGACTTCTGTCTGATGTTTTACCAACCTTGACTAGGCCAGATTATTGACAGCAGATTGTGAAACTGTCTCTGACTCATCCTAAAATACGCCTTGAACCAACCATCATCCAGGCAAAGCTCCTGCACCAGCTGGTAGTACTCTCTGATTTCCTTTCTTTCTGAGGGTCTCATGGGCCCATACTGAGCTCTGTTTCTCTGTGTCCAGTCCCCAAGTGCCCTCTGTGTGTCCATTTCTTTGCAGACTTTAAGGAACAGATCTGTCAGTGTACTTAACAGCAAAATAGCAGTTAAACTAAGGACACGTGATTTGGTAGTTGCCTAGCAATAGTTTAAAAAAAGATGCAAAAACCGCTCTGTCTGATTGGGGCCTCAGGTTTCATACACCTCACATACACAAATCGAATAGATTGTATTGTATGTCTTGCAACATGTCTGTTGCTGATTTACTGATCATGAGATACATATATATTTGTGTGTCCTCATGTGTGTGCATCAGTATCTGGTCGAGTGCTTGACTTACACCGTGCCTCTCGAAATAACATTTTAATTTTAGTCTAACAGTCCCTGGTCTCTTGTCCTGCCACTGACACTATTGATTCTCCATCTGTTTCTGTCCACAGCTCTCCCTCTGCAGTATCACAAATGATATGGGCTTCTGCCTCGCCTTTGTCTGTCAATAATGTTTCATATCATTACAGTTCTAACAATAATGGATGAGTTCATAGTGAAGGAGCCGTGTCAAAATTATTGACATGATCTCTGCGTGATAAAGATGGAGTTTTATATTAGCGGACCCCCTCCCTGCCCTGTTCTCTTTATTCCTAGCTGTGGATGTGTGCATTAAGCTAAATGAAATGGCTCGCAGTCCCACTCAATGTGGATTGATCTTTAGCCCACTAGTTGGTCTATTTATGTTCAAGGAAAGACCATGAGCGTTTTGACGTTTCAATAACGTAATGTTGCCAATAAGCTGCCCTTGACCAAGATGAAAAAATGCCCACCCCAAAGTGAATTGCCAAATGTCAGAGAGAGCTGTCACACCCCCCTCCCCCCCACCCCCCAGCCAGAATAACACACATTACATACAACCGTCCCACAATCCTGTCCTGCTTCTGTTTATCCCTCTATTTTGTTCTCCACAGGTGGTAATCGTGGGGGGTTATTAACTAATAGCTGATGTTGTTTGATGAGGAAGTGTTGTCAGCAGGTGGGCACTAAGCTTACCTCAAAGACAGAAAGTCTCAAGTTCTGCGTGCTTCATCGCTTTTAGAAGAATTTTCCTTCTGTGTCTTAAATTCCATGTCACTAAGACACTGGAAATGGAAAGATATCTGCAAATACTGTAGATAAAAAGATATAAAAAAGATATATAAATATACATGTGTACATACATTGCGTGTGTATAGGTGGAGATACATTATGCATTAAAGCTTATACATTTTTAAAAAATTACCTTTGTGAAGCATACATTTTAAATGTTAACAGTGTCCCTTTACTGTACACATACATGCTATTTGTTAGGGGGCCAGGTAAAATATTGGTGACAGCCTAAAAATAGAATACAGTATGTACAAAATTTGCCCATTACAAGTTGCATGAATGTGAGCATTGTGGAGGAGCTGTGTAATTGTATTGCATTAGTTTGTACAGGTGTTTACAGATATTGCCACAGGCCTAGTAATGACTCAGCATTTTATTTCATATGTCTCAATGAGAATCTAAAAATATCCTGTAGCACTTACCTTTTCTTTTGTCTCTACACAGTTGGCGTTAGGCATGTTCCCCTATCCACAGGTGAGTTATTATTAGTGTTTATTTGTTTCTATTTTAAGTGTTTTTATTTGTAATTGATCTCAACTTAAAAAAATCCAGATTTATTAAAGATGTTTGGCTGTGATGTTTCCTGTTGCAAGAAAACACTGTTCATGTGCAATGGTTACATTTTAGATCTGATTTTATTAGATTTCTTTTATTATTTATTATATAGATTAAAAAAATATATATTTTTACAAAAAATTATGAGTTTTTTTTTATTTATTCCAAATTTCAAACAGTTCCATTTTTTATTTTATTTTTTTTTTATTATTATTTTGCACTAATCATGCTCAAAGGCCCTGAATGATATTAAGAAATCTGTTAACCCGCAAATTTTTTATTTTCTGTCATCCATATTACTTGTTAGATGAGATGTGCAGTATTGATACACAACCTTAAATGTATAAATCTACTGTTTGGGTTCGAGTTTTTTTCCCCTCATTACACTAAGTTAAAAATCCTGCTCAAATGTAATTGCCGACCTCCGAAGTGACTTCCCAATCCCATCAAGTCTTAATTAGCCCTTTAAGATGGGTTTATCTCACTAATCCCTAGCAGAGCAATCTAAATCTGGTTACCTCAGGTTACCTCCTGGCTGCCTGCCTTCGCGAAATGTGAAGGGAGCAATTTTATCTAATGAAGAGCTTGTTCTTAAAACTACAGTGTGATTGTGTGGAAAATGATGCTTGAAAACCTTAACTATATAATAGAGATGCTGTCATTTTTGATTTCTATTTTAACATACTGACTCTATAGCTTCTCACTGTTTCTTTAATTAACAAAGACAATAAGTCATAAGTAAATAAGTGTGCGTACTGGCACATTTGTAGTTTTCCTGTAGGCTTAATGTATGCAACACTTGGACTCAGTCAGTCAAATGAAACTCCTGGTTGTGGTTGATTAAAGAAGCCGAGTGTGATGTAACCACTGCCCGATCTGCACAGGGATTGTCTAATTGACTGCTTCCTTTCACTATGCTAACTATCTTTCCTGGGAACGAGGGAACCAGTTTACTAAACGTTGGAGTTGGGTGTCACTTGAGACTTTTAAAATCTCAGCGTTAATGCATTAAAATTAGTTTTAGGCCAGAAGTGTTGTGGATATTTATCTCAGTTACCTCCGTTTGAAGATGTTTTCCTATTATTGTTATCTATTATGTGCTGAGAGGAACCCAAATGTGTTTTTCCAGGAATTAACTTAGCACCTAGTTGCGTACTTCCACAGTTAGTGTGCGTCTGTGAGACAGATTACAGTCGTGATGATTCACTTGTTTTCTGTGTTGATCATTAATTCTTGAGCCACGATGAAAAGCAAGTAGTGAGAGCCTTTGTGTCAGGGAGCAAAGGTGTGTTTATACAGCTCTTAAATTGTATAGTCATGTAAATGCCACACAATGATCATTCTGTGTGTCTACTTGTGTGGAGCGCATGTACGACTGCTGCCCAGGGCGTGTCTGATTTTAGAGTGCTCTCCCTTCCTTCAGTGCTCCCATTATCATGTTAATTGTTAGTGTATTTTTGCAAATGAGTGGTTGTTTAATCTACCCTCATTGATAGAAACACAGTAGACAAAATACTAGAAACACCTCTCAGTTTTATAGTTTAGGCTCTCCGCTGTCACGCAGCTTTCCTCATCTCAGTATTAATTTTCCCCTAACTCCATATGGTACTGCAGACAGTTCACCTGCAGGCTGTAGCAGAGCGGTGTGGCGAGAGCGCTTGGATCCAGCTCGTCAGGCGCAGCCAGCCAAAGTCCTCGGGCCTAAGCTGTCATTTTTGCAGACGCTGGCACAGCTGTCTGTGCAAAACCCCCTGCTACACTTCACAGAGAACATTTTAGTACAGACTGAGGGAGAAGTTGGAGAAGATAAAATGGAGAGAGGGGTTGGAAGAGAACCAACAGCATCTGAGTTTCCACTGTAGACCAGTGGAAGATACTGGAGTTGTTAAAGTTGAATTTGGCTTTGAGGCGTTCGTGATTTGCACTTTTGAAAAGCCAATTTTAGCATTGTTTTGGGTCTTTTGTTTACCCTTCACATTCTGAGGAAGAGTGTGTGTGTTTGCCAGTTGCTTTCTTTCGGTGGATAGTTGATGCATTATCCCTCATTCATTCTTTTGTGTATGCATGCACAGTGGAATCATCACCTCGTGTTTGTCATGATTAGAGATGGTCTCTTTAATTCCATTTCACCACATGTCGGGATTCATTTGCATCCTTTGTCAGGAGTTAATGGAGTTTTTGCACGGCTCGCTCTGAAAGTCTTTGAAGACACCAGACCTGATGTGATGTGTATACAGCCGCCAGCACTATTGCTTCTGATTGATTTGTTTGCTCTGTGGTTGTTTTTGTTTCTCTTTATTTTGTCATATTTTCTCAAATTTGAATGAATTTTTGGATGAAAAACCATGTCAGTTATTGGTGTGTACGTTTCAGGAGCTTCCATTACACATCGCTGCATCCATCAAGCAGCAGAGATGCTTTCCTTTTTGTGACTTTGTTTTTTTTCCTCTCAAATGAGATGGAAGGGAAATGGTACTGTACTACTGTTTGTGTGTTGTAAACAATGTTTGCTGTCATTTGTCAGCTCCCTGTGCCATCTCCAAACTCTTTTATAGTTGACTTGGTCACATGTTCTCCTTTAAGAAATTAGTTAAACATTATTTCAGTGTATTAGGCCAGCCCTGCCTCCTTGAAATTACATTTATATGCAACTAATTTGAAACAGCAAATAGGTTTTGAGGGAAACTAAATGTCAGTTCTTCTCCTTCAAAAAAGGCAATCTTGTATTACAGTATCCACTCATAATTATTACATTTTCATTTACATTTAACGGAAATCACAGTCTTTACCTAACCTTAACGAAAGTGAATTTATTGCCTAAACCTTAGACAAGAGTCTGGAGACAAACCTGAAGTTCTGGTGGCAAAATCTTGCACTTTGTACGCCCACCATACTCCCTGACTAAGTCTTTATGAAGCCTGCGTGGTACATGTAGTGTTTACCTGAAAGAAACGTCTCTGAACATAATCGGGGCAGCGATTACGTTGCCACAATAACATAATTAAGAAAGCAGGTAATTTTAGGAGACAGGGCTAAGTAGGCGTCCCTTGTAGGCTTGAGATTACTTTATAAATTATGTGAATAAATATCGGCCTTTCCTTCCAAATCTTAGGTATGTAAAGCCACACAACATCTCTAACAATTTATTACCATGATAAATATTGTCACCCAAACATTTTTGAATCATGCACACCGTCTGTATAACCTTGTATAAGCTTCCCTGTGCAGCTGATGAATGATACAATTTTTTTTAAATTTTTTTTTTAAGATGCATAAAATCTAAATTTACCACTCAGTGATTCTGTGTTTGGCAGTGTTAAAGCTTTTGGCTAAGAATGAAATGTTTTCATCAGAGAAGCGCTGCATAGTCTCTCGGCAAAGATCTCAGGCAACACAGTGACTTAATTGTTGTCAAGTTAACAGTAAAGAAAAGAACAGAGAAAAAGAACTTTCACCATTTGTCCTCCTCTCATAGTGATAGCTCCATGGTGCCAGAGTGGGACTGCCCTTGCCTATAATCAAAACGTGCGTCTCAACCTTTGTTCAAATCGAAGATTTGATCAAAAACCCTTTTGTAGGAGATTTGTGACCTTTGAAGAAATATCTTTGATCTTTGAGGAGAGAAACAGCCATCTGATCTTTTAGAAGTGTTTATTGAGTTGCTGTTGAAAGGAACAGAAATCATATGACATCTGAAAAGTGTGACTTCTTATTTTCACACTGAGCCCACTGTGATATTTTCAAATAACGAAAAAAGCTTGATGTGGATCATAAATCGTTACAAAGCCACTTGTAAAAGGGCTGTCCAAGTCAGAGGAACAAGAAGCTGATGTTTCATACAACTACAGGCGGTGTTTAGGGATACACTCTCATACACAGTCCTACAGGACCTTCTGCAACATCCTTGTTCATCTTAAATCAGCTATCAGAAGAAAATGTGAAGACATGTATTATTGGCAAGTCTTTTCTAAGTATAAAAATCATATTAACAAAGTTTACCCTTAGGATGAACATGCAGATAATATTATGTCTACCAGATAATCAGCCCGCAGTGATGAGAGACTGCTAAGAGGGAACGATAGGGAGGTATTTTTAAAGCTCTCTTTTTGATATGTGGTCAAGCTACCTAGTACAAGAAGAATAAGTGCTCAATTATGCTTGAATAAGTTAGTCTCCCACTATCCAATTTCAACCCCTGGAGCAGCACGCAATTTTGTCCTAGTAATTATTTCTGAACAAATTAGTTTTCCATAGTTGCCTTTAATGTGTCTGAATCAGGCAAAACTGGATATAGAGGCAGTTTAGGAGTCTCTTGGTATTTGCCGAGTGTGAAAACCTGTATTTAATTGAGTGAATCAATAAGTGCTCTAATGCACTGTCAAAAGACCCGGAGAAATGAGCAATTTATTTACCAAACATTCTCAGACATTTAGCTGAGCCTAGTTTTTAGGCATTATATCACTCTATATGATGAAGTTATAAATTTAGTTGTTTTTTTTTTAAAGAAATTAAACAGGGTTTTTGTGATGAATTCAGCCCTGAGGGTTTTAAGTGGGAAATGCTCTCTACAGTTTCACTGCAGTGTCACTTCCATTTACATTTTAAGACATTACCTCAGAGGCTGTGTCTAGATCTTCCAAATTAAAAGTCTCTATTGTAGCTCATATTTTAAGGACTCAGTCCTTTAATATGTTTTGACTGTGACCATAGAAACACATTTAGTAAGTCAAGTAAGTATTGAATGTCTTAGATGTCGTTTTATGTTATTTGGGGTTATTTTTTGACTGCGAATTCAAAGATGTTTTCTACTCAGATCAAATCACTCTTTTTTGTGTTGTCCAAAAAATTCATAGGTTTACCCCAATAGAGTGGTGCAGGAATGAGTCCTGAAATGCAGCAATGAGTTTGCATTTTAGCACTCCCAGTTGCTTTGTCTTGAAGTCAATGGATATTGTTTTTAGTCAGATGCCCGAAATAACGTCTGTCGTTAACACAAGCTTTAGAGACTTTCACTCTTTGCTCTATGACATAAAATACATCAGTAAATACTCCACTCATGAATTTTAAAGCCTTTATGTGTCTTGAAAAAGACGGTTGCTAATAAGTGGCTAAATAAGACTACGGAACATCATCACTACAAACACAGCTTTACAGCCTTGTTGTGGTGGCGACGTTAAGTTGTGCGACTGTAGTGTAGTTTGTTATAGCCATAGTTAGCTTTTTACTTTATTTACGCTTGAAGTGGTGTAAATTTGTCAAGATTACCTTGCTGAACAAAACGTGTAAGCATCATAAACTTTTGTTTGTTGTAGAGCTTATTTTTTGCAGTAATCCAAAATGTAGTGGAAAAATCCCATTGGCTTTTTGACAGGAGAACCAGGGCGATGCTAACTTCTGCATTGTCCTACAAAAAGAATCCATCCCTGCAGTACTCTATTATCATCACATATGTAGGTAGCTTAAGATGTCCTGGCCTGTTTATTGTCATTGTTGCACCTGTGAAATTGACACCAATGAGCGTGCTCATTACAAAGCTTGCTCATGCTGTTTGTAACAGTTATTCTACATCCCAGCACATCTCGATAACCTGGAGGGTATGAATAAAGTACTACTCTGAAAATTAGCATTAGTGGATCTTTTACCCCCATTCTCCACAAATGAGAACAAGGACATTAACATTTGTGTGTTTTCATTATGTAAATGGTGTTAACGCATACTCACAAATTGCCAACAGGAAAGCAATAATTTTCTCCTAGTGATCATAATGTGTCCAAGTGCATCGTCTTGATTATGACACGCTAATTACATATTGCCTCGTCCCCTCTTCTCTGTCTTGCCCTACAGATCCAGAAAAACCAAGGATCTTTAATGGTAAGTTTTATTGCATTAGAAAAGGAAGAAATAAAATAGAGGTCTCCCACACTATAGTCTGTTACTCTTGGTTGGCTCTCTCATTTGAAAAAAAAAAAAAAAACAAAACACTCAAATTGCATTTTTGCAATGAAATATTAGATCATGCTTAAACTGCTGTATTACATTAGGTGCCATTATGGAATAATAAAAACATGCAGGAGCTGAAGGATTGTTTTGCCTGAGCTGGCTGCATTTGATTAATCTAAGTAGATACTTTTTTTATCACACTATTGATTTTCCCTATTGCCTAGAAATTCCATGTAGGCGTATGTTGTTGTTGTTTTTTTTTTCATCTCCCTGTGTCTCTCCTCTTCCAGCCTCTCCAGTTACTGCAATGCATCGTTGATGAGGTGAGTCGTCGTCTTATGTGCTTTTGCATCTAAAGTCAGTCCTAATGGCCCGGAAAGCTTATATTTTGTTTCCTAATGAAGCAAACCACTCAGGCGGCTTTGCTCCCCACTCACTCAACCCTTCACCCTGTGCAACTGCCTCAGGCAATACACATATGCACACGCACATTACTGTAGAGGTTGGACCTGTCATGAGTGACACACACACACACACACACACACACACACACACACACAGTGCAACACAGCTCTGAATTCTGCATGCTACAGAGCCAATACCAAAGCATTTGTTTAACCAGGACTGTTGTTATGACTGCACTGGATGTTCATGTTTCTACATTAAATGGCATAAACTCATACAAATACAAGAAACAAAGAGACTAATAATAAAATGTAAGCACTCAAGACCACGGTGCTTAGCCATCGAATAAGTAGCATCTTTTTTTTCACAATGCACACACAGCATATAAACATACAATGTATCAAAGCAACAGTCAGACCACACAAAAACAAAAAATGGATTATGAAAAAGTAACAAAGATAAACCAATAAAACAGCAACACAAAAAGCTGACATAATTCCATAAGATGTCATTTTAATCAACCTATCTGTCCACTCTGAAAACAGATTCCCTTTTTTGTTTCTGTTTGTTTAAAATGTAACCACACCTCAAGCTTTTATTCAATCTCTTCCACTTCAACAATTCCATGCTTTGACTTGCTATTTGATTGTGTCCGTGTACATGAATGTGTAAGCTCACCACATTTCCATCAAAAGCAGCAGCCTTTTCCTCCTCTCTCTCTTTTTTTACTTCTTTGCTGACATACACTAATAGCAGAAATGCTACAACACCTCTGTAACCTAAACCAACCCCCTCAAACACCACCACCAGCCATATTGCACATTAAACATACAATGTCACTTGTCCTTAACTGCCTATAGATTTGGCCGTAATTAATAATTAAATGCTTTTGGTTGTAATGGATTGACCTGGCTGAACTGTTCATTAGTCAGCTAGACAGAGGCATCACTCAAAACTCTTTTTCCTGTGCCTTGTCCTGTTCCTCCCCTTGGGGCGAAAGAACATTTTTATGTTGTCCCTAGCGAGCCAGCACTGCCTTACTGTCCCAGCTAATGCAGTGCTTTGGAGGTGGAGACAAGAGGATAAGCGCTCTTTAGAAAGATGAAGTCGCTCAGAGAGAATTTAAAGGTTTAGGAACTATATACAGTTCAGTGTGCAGGAGAATACCCACAGAAGTGCTCTATCATAGTGTCACTACTTTGTTGCTAGTTCAGGACATCATTAAAATGACAATGTTTTTCTTACAGCAGATTGTTTGATTTTAATTCTTCTCAATGTCAGCTCTGCATTCGACACAGTTGATCATTGTATTGGATCACCTAGAAACGTGGGTAGGCATCATGGACACCCCTCTAGGTTGGTTTAAAACTTATATATCAAACAGTTTATTCAGAAGTGTTTGGTGATGCCTCCTTTTCTGTGGCATGTCTGACCTGTGGTGTTCCCCAAGTCTCCATCCCTGGCTCCCTGTTATTCTGCTACCACTGGGACATGTCATACATTACAAGGTCTATCCCAGTTTTGCCAAAACATTTTGGTCCCCTGTCTACAAAAGTCAAACCTGAAGCCAGAACCCTGGGTGTAATATTTAACAGTGACCCTTTAATTTGAAAAACAAGTCACAAAAGTCGTTCAGTCATATTTTATCAACTGAGGAGTATCTCAGAAATCAGGTCTTTTCTCTTGTAGCCCATCAGACTTTGGTGTTCCCCAAGGTTCCATCCCTGGCCCCTTGTTGCTCTGCCGCCACTGGGACATATCATACATAAACCCAAAATTCTTTACCATTGTTATGCAGATGAAATGCAAATTTATGGCCCATTTTAAACCATCAAAAAGACAATTTTCATGAGTCATTATCTTCATTATTGTCTGTCAACAAGAAAGTGCCAAACATCCCCAAACATTCTTCAGCAGGTCCTTTCTCTCTTGGCCTGAACTTGAGGAGGTCATTTGTGCTTTTACACTTTCTCCATTAGATTGTTGTAATATGTTGTATTCAGTGTTAAATCAAAACATTATCTTATGCTATAATTTACTACAAAAGGCAGCTTTTTGGCTTTTTTTTTTTTTTTTTTTAAGATTTCACCGATTACTTTTAAAGAACTTGGATCAGCTCCCATTGATATTACTGAATTGCTGCTCCCCTGTGAGCACAGCCTCATATCTTCGGGCAGGGCACTGCTGGCTGTACATTAGTCCTGGCTCAAGACTATAGGTTTTGAAAAGTGCTGTATAAATAAAGTTTATTATTATTATCGTACAACTTGTAGAACTTAAGGCATTATGGACTAGCACTGATCCCATGGAGTAGTTAATTTAATGCTAAGGTATTTTTAATTGAGTCAGACACACCTGACTTCAACATCATGGCAGGTGTGATAAATTATACCTGACTCATTGACATTTAGTAAGTACTGCCCATTACGGTAGTACATACTGTAGTTGTGATCCAAATACTTTTTTTTTCTTTGATCGTGATGCTTTGATATTGTGTGTGACTTATCCACTGGGGATTTGAAAGTTGCTTTAATGGCTGAATGAGTAATAGGCTCCTGTGAGTGGATCGTTAATATTATTGTAGCTAGAGGTATGTATGTGATGGGGGGTGGAGTGTAACAGTCTGCCTCCCTTTTTTTCCCCTTTGTTTTTCTATACACACAAACACACAGCAAAGCATGGCTGAGAAAGACTGAAATAAAGATTTGAGTCTCTTGAGGCTCAAAATAAAGACCAAATAAATAAGGTGAAGAAAATTAGGCTTAGCAATTAGAAGGTAGACACATCAACAGATACAAAAAAGGATTGCAATTTTTACCTGAGTGAATCTCAAATATAAAGATGGCACATGCAGAGCAACACAAATTCTCAGGTAATTTTTATGTGGCAAGGAGACAGGCTTTGAAAATCATGACATCAACAAAGATGAAATGTAACAGAGATGACAAAGAGTGGTCACAGTCAAGTCACAGCTTAACAGATAGATGGACACCTCGAGTGGTAATAGGACACTTCACCCCAATGCTTTTCCTCTTACCTGTAGTGCTCTTCATCAGTCTAGATTGTTTTGGTGTGAGTTGCCAGATGAAGATATCAGCATTAGAGATATCTGCCTTCTTTTGAATATAATGGAACTAGGTGGTACTTGCCTTTGGTGCTCAAAGCACCAAAAAATACATTTGAAAAACTCACCAGCAATGTCTCTTTCCAGAAATCATGACCCGGTTACTCAAGATAATCCTTTGTTGTGAGCAGTTTTATGTAGGAACTATTTTGTCTCTACTAAACAACACCTGCCAGCCGTATCATCACGCAGAAGGAAGCATGCATCTACTGCTAGCTCACCTAGCTCCACTGAGCTAGCTAACTTTACAGCTCAGCCAAAGAGGATTCCATTAACATTTGTCATGAGCACAAGCCTCTCGTCCATGAGTAGATGGATGCTTCCTTCTGTGTGGTGAAATGGTTAGTCCCACATGAAACTACTCACAACAAGGTCTGTGGATTATCCTCATCTAGTTTCATTATATTCAAGGGAAGGTAGACATCTCTACGGGCGATATCTCCAACACTGGGCAACTCACACCAAAGCAATCTAGACTGATAAACGGCACTACAGGTAAGAAAAAAATGATGTTATACATACAATATACTGAGGCCAAAAGAGTGGTACCTTATGTATGTTCAGAACATATTTCAGTGTATTTACTATCCTCCATTTAGGTGCATTTACGTGCTTCTACACAATCAGTAATTATCCAGTGCGTCTTTTAAAATGTTACGTGGTACTAGTGTATGGCAGAAAAACACGCTCACCTTAGTCAGCCTAGGTCTTAAACAAGAAGTTGTCTGTAGTTGTTCCCACCATCTGTCTGCTGTCCACCCTCATTAATGTACCTCTCTGCTCTGTTTGTTGAATAGCAAGTGGCTCCACTAATAAAGAACTCCCACTTTATTTTCAAGCCTGTAATTACTGATCTAATTTTGCCTAATAATTGCTTCATGGCAATGACATGTATATTTACTTGTACCCTTGTACCCTCGTAGTGTGTGTTCTGTCTCTTAGTGGAGCGCTTTGACAACCAGAGGAATAATTCACTCAGACTAGCCACTTTCATCAGCCTGCTTGTCTTTTGTGCCATCGCCTGCTGCCACATCAAAGCTGCAGCGGTGTTCCTCTCAGCTGGAGACATGAATACATGCATAAATATGTGTGTTAGTGTTTGTGCCTGCAAAAAGGTGCATGTCCATGCAAATATGTGGGGAAAGTGCAGAGACAGATTTTGTATCAGATTTAGCCTACACAACACATAAATTAGTTGTGTAGTCGACACTTTGCACAAACCGTGGGTCCAATTGATCCTGTTTTTCTGCATGTGTGTGTTTGCGTATACACCATAGTACAGTGGTTGCAAATTATTTGGTTCTCTCCCTCTAAACGGAGTGTACACTCAGGCTTGTGGTGTGCAGTGCTCAAGGGCATTTGTTTGTGCATGCCTGTGTGTGTATGTGCATGCGCTATGATATATTGCTCATCCAAGCGGCGGCAGAACTGTGAAGTGCAGTAAGATTAGAGGGGAACCCATTCCTTTGTTAATTTAAATGGGTTCATGCATCATGCTTTGCGGGAGCCTGCCGATCAGAGCATTAAGGAATAGCGAACACTGCCCAGAGGTGTTTTTAATGGCACAGCAGGGCTTCAGATGTAAAGAGGTTTAATTCCCTGCATTTGAATAAACGCCTGGTTGTGGACCCAGGCTTTATGATTTTTGTGCATATCTGAGTACTTTGTGTATTTTTGTTCATATCTTTGTTTGTGACATTGGATGTCACTGCTGTGCATATTTTAAATCTTACAGAATTATACCTACTATATACCCACTGGTCATTTTGGTTTCGACAAAGTCTGATATTACCT